GGCGGCGTTGCGTCGCGCCGTGTGAGAGCAGCATCTGCACCATTGCCTCATCGCCTCCCTCACCGCCTCACAGCCAGCCTCACGTCCGCTCTTTGTCTCGGCGACGTGGGGTCTGCCGCCTGGCCCTAGTAGCAGGCGCTAATGTCCAGCTGAGCCAAGCTAGCCGCGAATGAGCAGGAAGTCAATCGTCGATTCTGCCGGCATGGCTCGGCCCGTGGAGAGCAGCATCCTCGACCATCGACATCCTCGCCCTTACTCCACCGCCACTCATCAGCAGGCGTCTTCCGGCTCATCCGTATCGTGACGTTGGGCTTGGCTGCGGGCCTCTAGTAGCAGGGCGCCATGATGTCCAGCTGGCCAAAAGCCAGCGCGGATGTCAGGCAGGTCAACTCCGTCCGAATTCCGCGGCATTCGGCCGTCGGCCGCTCTGTGTGAGGCAGCATCACGTACCGCCCGCCTCCTCGCCCTCCGTCACCGCCATCATCAGCGGCCGTCTCCGCTCATCGTCTCGGCGACGTTTGGATCTGCACCGCCTCATTATCAGTAGCCAGGCGCACGATGTCCACAGCTGGCAAAGCAGCGCGATGTGCAGGAGGTCAATCCGTCCGATTCCCGCGCATTGGCGTCGCGCCCGTGTGAGAAGCAGCATCCGTACCGCCCGCTCTCGCCCTCGTCACCGCCATCTATCAGCGCTTCTTCCCGTCATCGTCTCGGCGACGTTTGGATCTGCACCGCCTCTAGTAGCAGCGGCCACGATGTCAGCTGGCCAAAAGCAAGCCGCATGTGCAAGGAGGTACAATCGCCGGTCCGATTCCGCGGCGTTGGCGTCGGCGCGTCTGTGGAGCAGCTCAGCACCACCGCCTCCTGCCTTTAAACACCGCCCTCATCAGCAGGCTCTTCCCCCTCTTCGTCTCGCGCGTTGGCGCCGTGAGCACATCTGCACCATTGCCTCATCGCCTCCCTCACCGCCATCACCAGCAGCCTCACTCGGCTCTTTGTCATCGGCGACTCTGGCGTCTGCGCCGGCCCTCAGTAGCAGGCGCATAATGTCCAGTGGCCAACGCTAGCCGCGATGAGCAAGTGAAGTCAATCCCGTACGATTCTGCGCATTGGCGTCGGCCGCCGTGTTGAGAGCCAGCATCCTCACCATCGCATCCTCGCCTTACTCACCCCATCATCAGCGGGTCTTCCTGCCTCATCGTATCGGTGCACGTTGGGCTTGGCTGCGCCTTAGTAGCAGGGCGCTGATGTCCAGCTGGCCCAAGCCAGCCGCGATGTGCCAGGGGAGGTAATCCATCCGATATCTCTGTGGTGTGAGACGAAGAGGGGGAAGACGCCGCTGATGAGGGCGGTGTTTAAAGGCGAGGAGGCGGTGGTGCGGATGCTGCTCTCACACGGCGCCGACGCCAATGCCGCCGAAAAGAAGAGCGGAGTGACGCCGCTGATGATGGCGGTGACGGAGGCCAAGGAGGCAGTGGTGCAGATACTGCTCTCACACGGCGCCAACGCCAATGCCGCAGTATCGCACGGATTGACCTCCTTGCACATCGCGGCTTGCTATGGCCGGCTGGACATCGTGCGCCTGCTACTGGAGGCCGGTGCGGATCCAAACGTCGCCGAGACGATGAGCGGGAAAACGCCGCTGATGTGGGCGGTGACGGAGGGCGAGGAGGCGGTGTTGCGGATGCTGCTCTCACACGGCGCCGACGCCAATGCCGCCGAAAAGAAGAGCGGGAAGACGCCGCTGATGTGGGCGGTGAAGGAGGGCAGGGAAGCAATGGTGCGGATGCTCCTCTCACACGGCGCCGACGCCAACGCCGCGGAATCGCACGGAGAGACCTCCCTGCACGTCGCGGCTTGCTCTGGCCGGCTGGACATCGTGCGCCTGCTACTAGAGGCCCGCGCAGACCCCACCGGCGCCAAGTCGAAGAGCGGAGTGACGCCGCTGATGATGGCGACGAGGCACAGTAAGGAGGCTATGGTGCGGATGCTGCTCTCACACGGCGCCGACGCCAATGCCGCAGAATCGCACGGATTGCCCTCCCTGCACATCGCGGCTTGCCTTGGCCAGCTGGACATCATGCGCCTGCTACTGGAGGCCGCAGCCAAGCCCAACGTCGCCGATACGATGAGCGGGAAGACGCCGCTGATGATGGCGGTGAGTAAGGGCGAGGAGGCGGTGGTGCGGATGCTGCTCATGGCGGCTCGCTCTGGCCAGCTGGACATCATGCGCCTGCTACTGAAAGCCGGCGCAGTCCCCAACGTCGCCGAGACGGTAAAAAGGAGGAGTTTCACTGCGTTACACTACTCCTGTGATCGACTTCGAACCGAGGTAAAACTACGGGCGTACGTTGCAAATGATTGAGACCGAATTTTAGCAATGTCCTAATGTATTTTCTTATAGATGGTAAAGGTAATCAGTAACAGTAATCGGTTAACAGTTAATAATAGATATGTTATAGTTTCACCGCATTACACTACTCCTGCAATCTACTCGGGACCGATGAAAACTTTGGTCGTACGTTGTGAACGACGAAGACAATTTTAGCGATGCTCCAATGTATTTTTGTCTAGATAATAAAGGTAATCAGTAATAGTAATCGGTTAATAGTTAATAATTTAATAATAGTAGTAGTTAGTAATCGGCAACAGTAATAAAGGTAGTATGCTTGGAAAAACTTGTTCTTTAAGGAACAAACCTAAAATCGGGTCGTTAACGATCCTCGTTTCTTTCGTTCACACAGATGATTACTCTCCTCTTGAAACACGGAGCTGACCCGAACCTCGTCGATTGTAACAAGAGGACGCCGCTCGCTATAATAGGCAGCAAGGCGGAGGTAAGAAGCCTCAGAATGAGTGAGCGAGCAGCACCCGCAGCACCAGCAGAACAAGCGGAGTCAGTGGTACACGCGGCGTCAGCTCTCCTACAGACGTGCGAGTCCGCCGGCGTACTTCTACAGGTTAACACACGCGACAGCAAGGGCGACACCCCGCTGCACAGCTTCTGTAGGGCGCTGCTGGCATGCAAAGACGATGTTTACGCGCGAGAGAGTGAGGGGTGCGTGCAGATAGTGCACGCGCTGCTGTTCAACCACGGTGCACACGTCGACGTAGTGAACGCACAGGGAGAGACGCCATACAAACTCTGGCGCGGGATTTACCCGACGCGTTTCCGCAGCAACGTGGAGTCGAGCGACGAGATACATAGCAGAATGAGCGCGCAGTATCATTCGCTGGAGTGCCACTGCGCGCGCGTTATCGTCCGACACAGCGTTGTATACGAGAACAGGCTGCCTCCGAGTCTCACAGAATTTGTCATGGCACACGCTAGACCAACGTAGGCGACACTAAGCGTGTTAACCGAGGAAGCCCATGTAGGATCGGAGATGCGATAACCCAGAAGATATTATCAATACTTTGTAGAAACTCTATGTTCTAATTGTTGCACTTGTTGGCAGACGTGTTTCATTGCAATGTAAAATCGAGTATATGTAGTAACACTATTCAGTTTATATAGAAATGCGTAGATTATCGGTATGATGCCTTGGTGAATTGGCGCCATTTAATAACCACAAGTACAAATGTTAAAAGTTTGCAAATTATTTTGCTCTGTAAAAAACTCTAAAGGCTTAGTTTGGTTCTGAATATATATATAAAAATAAAATAACTATTTTACCATGAATGTGTGCAATTCGGAAATACCTATTACCACCAGAATCCCA